GGGTGGGACCTGTGTGTGTGTGTGTGTGTGTGTGTGTGTGTGTGCGTTTTAAAAGTTATTTAATATTTGTATTGATTTCAGAGAGGAAAGGAGAGGGAGGGAGGGAGAGAGAGGGAGAAACATCCATGATGAGAGAGAATCATTGATCGGCTGCCTCCTGCACGCCCCCTGCTGGGGATCAAGCCCGCCACCCAGGCAGGCGCTGTGGCTGGGAATCGAATGGTGACCTCCTGGTTCTCAGGCCGATGCTCGGCCCTGAACCACCGGGCACGGCTGTCTGTGGTTAACAAGCCCCGGTGGTCCCGAAGCCGGGCCAGGTCTCAGCCCCGGTGCAGCGTCTCAGCGGGTCCCTCCGGAGGTTCTGGGAAAGCCGCGCGTGCCCCACGGTCCTTGTCCTCCTCTCAGTGCCCTAACTCAGTGGTAGGCAAACCACGGCCCGAGAGCCACATGCGGCTCTTTGGCGCGCACGTACAGGGCGATTGAAACTCCGTGGCCCATGGGGCCAAAGAGCCGCATGTGGCTCGCGAGCCGCAGTTTGCCCACCACTGCCCTAACCCAGCCTCAGTATCTCCTGCCAGATACGCGCGATTGGGGACTTTCCCTAACGAGGGCCAGGAAACTGTCCGCTCAGACTAACCTGGACATCGGGAGACACTCGCTGGCTCGCCGTCCTGTTGGATAAGCCCGGAGGGAGGTCAGGTTTGGGGGAGTTGGGGCAGGCCGCCACCCCGTGGTTCTCTCTGCCCGCTGCTTTGTGTCCGCTGTGTCTTCACACTGGCTTCCCTCTGGTTGCCAGGTGGCTGCCTGCACCCGCCAGGGCCATGCGCTTCCTAGTCTCCTCCAGAGGGAGGCATCACGGCAGCCCACAACACCACGCCAGCTCTGCCCTGGCTGGTGTGGCTCAATGGATAGAACATCAGTCTGGGACTGAAGGGTCCCGGGTTCGATTCTGGTCAAGGGCACGTGCCTGGGTTGTGGGCTCGATCCCCAGTGCAGGGGTTGAGGGGTGGGCGTGCAGGAGGCAGCCAATCAATGATTCTCACCATTGATATTTCTATCTCTCCCTCTCCCTTCCTCAGAAATCAATAAAAACATATTTAACAAAACAAACCAACCAAAAACCTCACCAGCTTTGCTGTGATCGGTCCAGCCCCGAGCCAGCCATCAGGGCAAAGGCTGGGAACCCCCCTGATGGGGGTGAGGGGGTCCTGTCCGCTCTCCTGGCTGTTTCAGGAAGGGGGAGGGTTGCTGTTTGCCCCAAACCACTGCCCCTGCTTCCCCAGCTTCCAGCTAACACATCGGGGTCTCCCCGAAGCAGAAGCCGGTCTGCAGCGCCCCTCGTTCGAACCCTCTGTGCCGCTCCCAGCCACACACACAGGCTCCCCGGGCGCAGTTCGCCCTCGGGACGTCCCACTTCCTGGTCACCTTGGCCAGCTGCTCCCTTCCCATCCCTCTAGCCCTGTAGGACCCTATCCCCTCCCCCCTCCCCCCGTCCCCCTTCTGCACGCTCCCAGGCGGCCTGCCTCTGCACTGGTTGTGTTCTGCCTGGAATGCTGTTGTCTGTCTTCCCCTGGTAGATTTGTCCTTCACAAACCAGACAAACGGTGTGTCTCCTCCTCCGGGAAGCCCTCCAGGGTAGCTCCAGGCCTGGCTACCACTTCGACCCCGGGCTCCTGGGAAATGCATCACCGCCTGCCTGTCCCGCTCCCCTCCGCGTCCGCCTCTGCCTCTGCCGGTGGCCTTGGGGCAGGGGCCTGTCTGATCTGTCCGAGGTCACCATCCCCAGGCTTGTCACAGATCAGCAGCCCGGAGAGCGTTTGTTGGCTGAATACTATTTTAAAGAAATAGATTTTATTGATTTTTTTACAGGAGGAAGAGAGAGGAATAGAGAGTTAGAAACGTCGATGAGAGAGAATCATCGACCAGCTGCCTCCTGCACACCCCCTCACTGGGGATGTGCCCGCAACCAAGGTACATGCCCTTGACCGGAATTGAACCCAGGACCCTTAAGTCCGAAAGCCGACGCTCTGTCCACTGAGCCAAACCGGCTTCGGCTCTCATCGATGTTTCTAATGCTCTATCCCTCTCCCTTCCTCTGTAAAAAAAAAAAAAATCAATAAAATGAAAAAGGGAGAAAGTATAACTTATAAAAGAAGAAGAAAAAGTGGCCCATTTTACTGGCCGTGCTTAGGAAAAGGTTGCCGGAACTTGGCTGTGACACAGGCCCTGGCTCGGGGCGGACCGCGGTGTCAGAGCCTGGGACTGGGACGTGCGGGGAGGGCTGGGTCTCCCGCAGGCAGGCGCACCGGCCGCGGGCGGCGTGGGCTCAGCCTGGCCCCGGCCGAGGTTGGCGCCGATGTTTGTGGGAATAAACAGGCCGAGCTCAGGGCGTCCAGCGTCCGGCGGCCGGGGCGCAGAAGTGGAGGAGAAAAGGGAAGCGCGGGGTCACGGAGCAGAGGAGGGAGCGGAGGCCGTGGGAACTGGCTTTCCTGGCGGCACCGGAGGGGGGTCCCCGCTTCTCCGCGGACTCGGGGTAACCGGGTGTGTGGGTGCCCGCGTTCTCGGGAGCGTGTTTTTGGGGGAGCTAAGGGACGGGTCTGAGTGTGACCGTGGGGCGCTCCCGGTGCCCCCGTTTGCTGGAGGCTTACCCGGTGCGTGTGTGTGTGTGTGTGTGTGTGTGGGGGGGGGGGTGTTCCCTTGCTGTCCTGATGCTGCTGGGGGTGGGTGAGGAATGGGCTCAGGCAGGCCTGTGCTCACCCAGGGCACATTGCCCGTTCGGTGGCCCTGCCAGGACGGCTCGTCTGCCGCCTGTTCCTGTCGGGGCATCCTGTTAGGCTGGAGCTGTGGCCCTCGGGGCTGTGGCCGGGAGCCGCAGGCGGGGGAGATGCGGGAGCATCTTGCCGTTTGAGTCACTTTCCACCCTTTTCACCACCTCGCCTGCACCTGAAGCCACAGGAGGGAGCATGCTGGCACCTCTGAGCCCAGAGCGGGGAGAGTGAAGGCGGGAGGAGCCCGAGGGGAGCTGTGTGGGTGCTCCTGGCACTTTTTACTGATTGCCCTGTCCCGTCCCCTGCCCTGGGCTGGGGCCTCGGTTCTCCCAGGCCTGCTCCCAGGGGGGTGTGCGGAAGGAAGGAGTGAATAAAGGAATGAGTGAGTGAATGAGAGAATGAATGAATGAGTGAAGGAATGAATGAGTGAATGAGTAAATGAGTGGATTAATGAATGAATAAGTGAGTAAATGAGTGGATTAATGAATGAATAAGTGAGTGAATGAGAGTAAATGAGTGGATTAATGAATGAATGAGTGAGTGAATGAGTGAGTGAGTGGATTAATGAATGAATAAGTGAGTGAATGAGTGAATGAGAGTAAATGAGTGGATTAATGAATGAGTGAGTGAGTGAATGGGTGGATTAATGAATGAGTGAGTGAATGAGTGAGTGAATGGGTGGATTAATGAATGAATAAGTGAGTAAATGAGTGGATTAATGAATGAATGAGTGAGTGAATGAGTGACTAAAGGAATGGTTGCCTGAGTAACCTGAGGTTAGAAAACCTGCTTTCCAGTCGGGACCTGCCCATAGCAGCCTGTGCCCTTGACCATCGTACCCCCTTCCCGGGCCCTGGTTTCCCCCCAGCTGCCCCTAAGGCCCGGCAGCGAGCCCCGGCCTGGGAGAGGAGCAGAGACAGGCGGGGTCCGGGGACGCACAGCTGGCATGTGGCTGTGTTCTCCGATTGCCTGCTGTCACCAGGGCAGCGGGCAGCTGGGAGGCGGGAGGAGCCCACAGGCTGGGGGGGACGGGGGTGTGGGCTCGGCTGGACTGGGTGCCCATGGCAACCTGGCTTCCTTTTCCTGACGAGCGAGGCACCTGCACTCCTCTGGGTGTGGGAACCCCTGGGAGGGGGTGGGGGTGGGATTGGGGGTGGGGATGGGGTGGGGTGGGGGTGAGGTTGAGGGTGGGATGGGGGGAGGGGTGGGGTGGGGGTGAGGTTGGGGGTGGGATGGGGGGAGGAGGTGGGGTGGGGGTGAGGTTGGGGGTGGGGGTAGTGGTGGGAGAGGTGGGGGGGTAGGTAGGTGGGGGTGAGGTTGGGGGTGGGATGGGGGGTGGGGGTGGGGTGGGGGTAGTGGTGGGAGAGGTGGGGGGTAGGTAGGTGGGGGTGAGGTTGGGGGTGGGATGGGGGGTGGGGGTGGGGTGGGGGTAGTGGTGGGAGAGGTGGGGGGTAGGTAGGTGGGGGTGAGGTTGGGGGTGGGATGGGGGGAGGGGGTGGGGTGGGGGGGAGGTTGGGGGTGGGATGGGGTGGGGTGAAGTGGGGGTGGGGTGGGAGGGGTGGGGGTGGGGTGGGAGGGATGGGGGGGTAGGTAGGTGGGGGTGAGGGTGAGGGTGGGAGTGGGGGTGGGGGTGGGGTGGGAGGGGTGGGGGTGGGGTGGGAGGGGTGGGGGGTAGGTAGGTGGGGGTGGGGGTGAGGGTGGGAGTGGGGGTGGGGGTGGGGTGGGGGTAGTGGTGGGAGAGGTGGGGGGTAGGTAGGTGGGGGTGAGGTTGGGGGTGGAATGGGGGGTGGGGGTGGGGTGGGGGTGAGGTTGGGGGTGGGAAGGGGGGTGGGGGTAGTGGTGGGAGGGGTGGGGGGTAGATAGGTGGGGGTGAGGGTGAGGGTGAGGGTGGGAGTGGGGGTGGGGGTGGGGTGGGGGTGAGGGTGGGGGTAGTGGTGGGAGAGGTGAGGGGTAGGTAGGTGGGGTGAGGTTGGGGGGTGGGATGGGGGTGGGGGTGGGGTGGGGGGAGGAGGTGGGGTGGGGGTGAGGTTGGGGGTGGGAAGGGGGGTGGGGGTGGGGTGGGAGGGATGGGGGGGTAGGTAGGTGGGGGTGAGGGTGAGGGTGGGAGTGGGGGCGGGGTGGTGCGGATGCACAGCCCCGGGCAGGAGGAGGCGAGGCCGGAGCCGGGTCCTCCCATCTTGGCAGCGGTCGCCCTGCCCGCCCTGCTCACCCTGCCATCCGTGTTCTCTGCAG